CCCCAAAACCCCAAAACCCCAAAACCCCAAAACCCCATGGGGAAGAAGAGAAGTTGAAATATGTAGGAAGTTATTATGGATTAAGTTATGGGGTATGTATAATTGGAAAAATTTGGGGTGGTTAGAAGGTTACACATAGCTCTTCTCCTAGAGCTGATTTGGTTAGTTTCAAGCTCTTTTTGGAAGAGAAGTGTTTAGGGTAGATTTTTGTTCAGGATTTTGAGGATATTAGTAAACCGAGTGTTTTATATGCTTTCGCCACCAGTTCAGAACAAAAGAAATTTCGACTCTTGTCTACAATTCTTTCTTCATCTAGAATCTCACTTGGAGTAGGCATACGAGACCTTCTCCTTAGCAATCTACCGATCGAGATATCATATCCTCTGTCATCAACGGCATTAACAAAATTACCTAGGACTTCACAAAATGTTTCGTTCCGATTTCAATAAAGCTTCCTCCAAACAATTTTTGAGTACAGTTCATCCTTATAAGTTTTCAAATCTGTCCATGTAGTAATATGAACTCCAGAAGCTGTTGATTCAAGAAGGTATACTTCATTATCTTCCAGAAACGTCAACACCATAGCGACATGATCATAATTAGAATTAGTAATTTTTCTTGTGATACCTGACATAACTGTTTTGCCTGTGAATAAAATAATATCACCTGAATCTGCTTCATTTAGAAAAGTAGATTCGTTAATCCGATCACATTTCTTCCAAAAACGAGATTCATTTAGGAAAGAAGAATCTTTCTCTCAGGAATCGCTATTTTCAATACTTCTGATCAAAGCAGAGCACCATTGGTTTCTTTCCTCTTGTGTTCTTGCTTTAAACCTGAACTTTCTCTTTAGTCCAGTAATTAGGACTGAGAATTTGAGTTTTTGTTTTCGACTAATTTCCACGGTTGCGTCTACCATTGACAAATTTATAATACCAACTGGATGAGGATCATGCTCATTTTTGTAATAACATATCCTGTTATAAGACAGCACTACATATCGTTTTTGCCATCCTTTGAAGAAATTTGCGCTTCTTTTATGTAAGTAACCTCTCATTTCATCATTCTTCCTTAAGCCTCTATTACTACTAACAATTTTTGATTGGCTATTTATGAGGTCTGCATAACCCCCAAGCTGCTTGACCAATTTAGTATTTTCCAGCATTTGTTTACTGAAAATGCCAAGGTTTTGCTCATCAGAGAAGGAGCTTCTGTTATATTGCTCTTCGTTTGAGCAAGAATCAATTCGGTTGTCAAAATAATCTTTGTCCTTCACCAATTCACCATCTTTATCAGGATCGAAAGAAAGCAGAGAATGAAATTCTTCAACATCTACTGTCTTTTTCCTGAAATTCTTAGCCCTGTTCGGGGAACCATAGGAAAGGCAGTTAAATTCACTATAAAGCTGCGTTTCACAAGACTCTTTTTGTTCCATTTTGCTAATTTATTACAATTCTTCAAATTATATTGGTACTATAGGGGTTTTGGGGTTTTGGGGTTTTGGGGTTTTGGGGTTTTGGGG